AATGAACGATTTACGATATGGTTTTCCGATTTTACTGAGTAACTCTGTAATTTTCGTTAAATACAATTCGGTTGCCTCCATCTGTGTTCTCATTCACTACAATACCACCGATTGAATAATATGTAATTATCTCTTTATAGATTTCATTCTTTATAACAAACATTCAACTTCCAACCTAAAGCGGTCAAGTTTAAAATTTGATTTCATTCTTATTTCTTAACATTTTGTTTGATAATTGTCCTTACTTTTTTTCCGATAGCGTAAATAGAATTTATATCAGATTATTTAAACAAAAGTTTATTTCACATTTATATTCTCTTACTTAGAAAACTTGTTTTCAAAACGATTTTCTGATGGATCAAAGCATGATTCAGGTATTTTTAGTCTTGTACTCAGATTACATTACTTACACCTGTTATCCCCAATGGAGCATAGTCCGCCGACACCACTATTCTCCAACCTACTCTGTCCTCCATCTTCCTTTCTTGTTCTGTCCAGTTTTTGTTCATTCTTCTAATGTCTTCTTTCAAAACTTGGCGTAATGTGTTCCTTGACCTTCCTCTTTTCTTTTGAACTGTCTTGTGATGAAGATGGGTACTTTCTTTAATGTGTCTTATCCCTTCTAGCGCTTCTTCTTGATTTCTTCTTCTGGAAGGGTAATATCAACAGTCTACTAACAATTTGTCAGTTGTCTAAATATATAAGAAACAATTTAATTCACTTAGTTTTCTTCAGAATAAAAATATCGATTCGCTTGCTCAACATATGCAAGATTACTTAAGGATGATGGATTTTGTTGACTATGGAAAGCGAAACGATCGTAGTGACAAATCGGTTATGGAGATTATAAACCTCTATTGATTTACAAAGCTGATTATTACTTTTAGCATTATGCACCACTATACGTAGAATCATTGTTATACAACACTCAAAAAGAGACCACAGAGAACCTGAAAGCAACCAGATATAAATGATAGCATAAATTCATTTAGTCAATAACTACTGAATACCAGTATTTCAGGATTTGTAGATTTCGAACTTCAATCCTATTAGGTAATCGTATTCTTTAATATTAGAAAGTAAAGTAGTATGAAAAATTAAACTAGTCATAGTGATGCTGATTTTCTGATAAATCACTTTCTCAAAATTCATTTGTTTCTTATTAGGCCTATCTGATGTTTAACTTTCAAACACATTGAACTTTTATACTCACTTTCCTGGTAATCTTTCTTTACTGTTCTACTGAGAATTGTTGTAGTAATTTAGATTCGTTCTACACTCGTACCTTATTCTACATTGATCAATAAGAATATCACAAAAATATAATAATTCCACTATTATTAATATTATTGTTATAAGTACTAGTAGTAGCAGTACTGGTAATAGCAGTAGTAGTAGTAGTAGTGTGGTGCGCGCTACTTATAAGTAGTATATGACGCGAGTGTCAACGTAATGTCTGGCAGCAGAAGATGGGGGAAGAACAAGAAAGGAAGAAGAGTGGGAACACAATGGAATTTGTATGAAACGCATGAATAGTGAAATGTCAGACAATAGATTGATGAGTTGGATTGAAGATTTGCAAATTAACCATTTAAGATATGGTTTTCCTATTTTACTGAGTAACTCTGTAAATTTCGTTAAATACAATTCGGTTGCCCTCACCTGCGTTCTCCTTCACTACAGTATGAGTAGTGTGAGTAGTAGTAGTAGTAGTAAAAAATATTTTACTAAATGAAATCTAACTGAAGGAGGAATTAGGAAAAGACACTTGAAATTGATAAGATGTACATTGAGGAAATCACTAAACTACACTTCAAAATAGGCCGCTATTTGAAATCCTCTAGGCAGAAGGAAAAACACCAGGTCAACAAACATATTGTTCTGCAAATTTAAAGCCGACATCAAATGGATAAAAAGCATATGACAAGAAATGGCGAGGAGAGAGCCGAACAGAGTTGATTAAAGAATCCAGATCGGCAGGGGTTACAGGCGTAATTAATGTTATGCTCGTCACTTTATATGCTTGAAACTATTACGAGTTCACTATAGTCGCTAAACGAGAGCAAATACAAATGATCCAGTCACACGACAAGCTACTCTAATCCGTTGTCCCAACTAACTGAAGAAGATGTCTTAATACGGCGTAGAAAGTATATTCTACGAACACCCCAAAAATTTGAGTACGACAAGCATACAAATCGTGTTTATTTATACATGACAGAAACATCCTTGGGAGAGCCACAATAATAGCGTACTAAAATAACACATCAACCAAAGACAAGGATTTTATTTCTGGGGAAGTGTAATCTCAAGGTCAACTGGTCAGTCCATGAATAAAATCCAAAATTAGGACTTTTATCAAGTGAGTACTAGGAATCTAACATCCTCAACAAGGAAGTAGAGTGAATAATTTAATTCCAGTATTTCACATCGCTTCAGAATGAAATTAATTGAAAAAAAATGTGTCGTAAAAACTTTTCATCTTGTCAGTTAACTTACAATGTAATTAATTGGTTTACTAATGAAATTAAACTTCTTAATGTTTTTCCGATTAAATATAGAAAAGGTTGTTTATAACAGAATGATATGTTAGAGACATCTAAACAACACGTGATCATTGAACTATTAGTTTTAAATCTAATTTAGAGTGTGTGCAGAAAATTCCAAAATAAACACTGTTTTAGTTGTTTTTATATATAAGTTTATGCATATTCACAAACAGATTATTTAAAACTTTAGTTTGAAAGCATTGTTATCCTTTCAAATTTATTATCCCATCTGAAATATATTTTGGTGAAGTTAGATCCTTAGAACTCACTTCGAAAATGTCCTAATTTTGTAATTTATGGCTGAAATTTCGATTTTGTTTTTAAGAAGCTTGGTTGACCTTCAGCCTACACTTCCCACCAGGAAAATCCTTGACTATCATTCGTTTGGTGGACGTAACTATCATTGTGTAAATAAGCCTGAGATGAATGCTTAGCAACCTCTCATTTCTGGGTGCTTGTAGGATACATTATCTACGTCTTATCAAGACTTCTTGATTTGGTTAGCCGGAGCTGGGACAACGGATTAGAATAGCCTATCGTGTCACTCTATCATTGACCTTCGTTTATTCTACCGAGAAACATGAACTTGTAATATCATTCAAGCATGTCAACTGACGAGCATATCAGATATTAAGCACCTATGGCTGATATACTCCGATATAAATAAAGCTTTATTCATTCAACTGATCTAATGTCTATCATTCACAATTCTTAGTATGCGCATATACAACACAGCTTAGTTAAATGCAGTAGGCAATAGCTTCGTATTTAGCTTCCAGAAGTAGTAGATGAGACTTGGGTCTCAGGATGAATTTGTTGTCCCTAAATCAAATAGTTTAACTGTAAAACTGTTATACTCGTCTCTAGGTATGCTTAAAACTTTTACGGATTCACCTTAGTCGAATAACGAGAACAAAACAATGAACTGGCGTCCAGGTAGGCTACTGTGATCTGATTGTCCCAATTGTATCAGCAGCAAGTCTTGATATAGTGTAGAAATTGTATTCTATAAACACCTAGCCAGCACACAAGACTTCCAAGCACTCGAATTGCGTTTATTTATACTCCATAGAGACGTCCTTGACACGGTCACGAAAATAGCACACTAAAATAACACAGTAACCAATCACAGTTAATGATTTTCTTGGTGGGAAATGTGATCTCAAGGTCAACTGAAAGATATTTATCAAGCGAGTTCTGGTGATCTAGCATCCTCAACAAAAGCCTTGGTGGTCTCTTCAATCAAAGTCACTAGTGTAAAACCCTCATACTGAAACGAGACATTAGACAGAGCTAACAGCTTGCTTGGCTGATATGAGATATGATTACTTGTTACCAGATTTTATGTTGTTGTCAGGTAAGGAACACATTTTATAGTTTATATCGCAATGAATAAAACTGATAACTTAAAAGTTTGATAAAGTTTCTCTTAGACTGTAAATATCTAGTTTAAATCTGTCTCATACTCAACATATAAAGGGAAACAGCAAAATTTCACTGTATAATTATAGTTTAAAGTAACACTTCTAAGTAACATTTCTGATTACCCTATCAAGTGAAAAGGTATGTAGTGAACGAGAACACAGGTGGCGCAACCGAATTGTATATAACGAATATTACAGAGTTACTCAGTAAAATCGGATAACCATATCGTAAATCGTTAATTTGCAAAATATCAGTCCATCATCCATCGAACTGGACTGTTCCTGTTGCAAAACATCAATCCATTGTCACTCACTATTCATGCGTTTCATACAAATTCCATTGTGTTCTAACTCTTCCTTTCTTGATCTTCCCCCATCTTCTGCTGCCAGACATTACGTTGACACTCACGTCATATACTACTTATAAGTAGCTCGCACCACAGGTATAACAATGATTCCAACAGTATCACCTCATAAAATAATAAAAGGTTTCAATCAATATAAACAAAAACATATTCAATCGTATGATCGTTAGGTTATTTTCCATTTAAAACTTGATTATTACTATTTATTGATGCGTTTCAAAAAAAAACCAGTTCATTCTCACTAAACTTGATAGACAGTTACAGAGAGAGATACAATTTACCAAAATATTTCTCACACAGAGAAAAATAAAATTTATTTACAGGAAAATAACTCAAACCCAAAAACTCAAAACAAAAACAGACAGGTAATATAATTAATTATTATTGGTTATTTTTGATTGTCTGTAATTCACTCATATGATTATTTGTAATGTCATCAATTGACCTTGTCACTGATTGGATAGGAATTGATTTATCGATCATCCAATGTTGATAATTTTTAATGATGGCGTGATAAACAAATTTATCAGCTTATTATGTTGATGATGATGATGATCGTACCACCGTTTAAGTGGATTTAAAATGTGAAAAAAATTGGCGTTTTCTTATATTCATATTTTTTGTTGTTGTTGTTATCAATTTTACACTAATTCATAATCTCAATGAATTATTTGGGTCGTTTAATTTCAAGTGCTCATCAATATTACAAAAGTATCAATGTAGCTAATTTAACTGGTGCTATCGATGTGATAGTTGTAAAAAATAAAGATGGTGAATATCATAGTACACCATTTTATGTACGTTTCGGGAAAATGGGAGTATTATATCCACGATCACATGTGGTAAGATATGTGGTAAAAAAAAGTTTTGTTTGATTTCTCTTATTTTTCCATTGAAAAACTACTGTTTACATTAAGATGTGTGCATGACTAAATCCTACCTTTCACTATTAACTAACTAGATTGTTGTAGCGGCATTGACTATTTGGTTCCACTACTTTTTTTTATATCGCCATCTGGATAACTTTTCTTCCGGTGAATGTCATTTACACATCTGAAATCATCAATCAGTTATAGTTAGACCATCATTAGAAACCTGAAAGCACTGGAAGGCCGTTTCAGCCTCGAATGGGACTCATCAGAAGTGCGCATCCACGACTCCTGCTCCTCGCGGGATTCGAACCTGGGACCTTCGGTATTGTGTGCGAACGCCTAACCATAGGACCACTGGACCGGCATCCAACGGTATTAATGTCTAACTCTGACTGATCTAGGGATTTTGCGCGACCCCACCCATTTGTCTTTTGGGTAGTTACTGCCTACACTCGACAGGATTGAACTCCATTGGTCATGTCTTCTCAACTAGAATTTCCTCACGAAACTAGTCACTAGTGGGCACTGTTACGATATTTTGGGGCAGAGTTTTGAAGGTTTGTGTTTTTACAAATTTGAAATCATTAATCAATTATTGTTAGACCACCATTAGAAACCTGGAAGCACTGAAAGACGGTCGTTTCGTCCTGGTATGGGACTCATCAGTGGCAGTGCGCATCCACGACTCCTGCTCATTTAGTTTTGTTAGTAGGTAAAATACACAATTAAGGTTTTCCACAAATTTCGATTCAGATATATTATGATGTTAATTATCTCCTTAATGTCCACCTTGACTAGTAAGTGGTAATTTGTAACTGTGTTATTTTGCACACAGTAATATGCATTCTGTTTAATGAAGTAAACTATTATTGGGTTCGTCACTAAGTATGCTTGAGGCTATTACGAGTTTACCTTAGTCGATAAACGCGAACGAGTCTTTTACCATCGTCCAGGTGGGCTACCTTGAATCCAAACGGTAAAACAGAAGTCTTGGTAAGCGTAGAAAGTATATTCTACAAACACCCAGCAAATCACAGTACAATCAAGCACACAACTCTCGTTTATTTTTACAACACAGAAACGTCCTTGGGACAGTTAAGAAAATAGCACACTAAAATACACAGCAGCCAATCACAGCCATGGATTTTTCTGGTGGGAATTGAAATCTCAAGGTCAACTGATCAGCCCATGCTGGCAAACGTAGAATCCAAAATAAGGCATTTATCGAGCGAATTTCGGGATATAACATCCCCAACAACTATATTTACTAGTTAAACAACATTCAAAATAGTGATATAACAGTCATATTAAATTCTAAAGATTTTGTTAGAACAACTCTTGCGTGTTGAATGGCCTTTCTGACCATATGTTGTTATCTCCTGATAACAATAATAATAATAATAATAATAATAATAATAATGTTAATAATACTGATCTCAGCTAAATTGAGTAAAAAAGGAAGTAGGACAAATAGTGAGGACAAGTTACATCAGTCTTACTTATTATTTCTTGTGTCTATTCATAATTATGGTTGATTAACTAGTGAGTTGCTTTAGTCAAAGATCCTAAACATGAGTAACAAAGAATTCTTTTTTTTTTTGATGCCTTACTTCATGTATTTTACTGATTCAAAGTACCATCCATGTTTTACGAATAATTCAGTATTCTGATTATAAAGTTGTGGAAATGGTTTAGTTTCATTGAAATCATGAGTCGATCAATGTTAGACCAATATTAGAAACCTGAAAGTACTGGGGTGGCCATTTTGTCCTAGTATGTGACTTTTTGGAGGTGCGCATCCACGATGCACGCTCACAGGAATCGAACCCAGGACCTTTGGTCGCGCGCGCGTGAACGCTTAACTTCTAGACAACTGAGCTGGCTTCCAAAGGTGCTGATGTCTAAGGATGGTCTAACGATGATTGATTGAAGATTTCAATGTAAAAAATGTTTTCCTTTTACATCGTTCCTGTATATGTGATTGGGGAAAAGTACCCCGTTTGTTTTGAATACTTACAAAACATTGTAGGCCTTTTAAATAGGTCAATAAAGTGATTCTATTCGTACCAAATTATTACATCACTTGAATTTATAATTTAATTCATTTAACCTTTCATTTTGATGAAAAACATCAATTCTGTGGAATGATGAGGATTATAGTTACCTTTTACACATAACTGAGTCTAAAACCCGATCTTAGTGTTCATTAAATATCTGTTTTTTTCTCATATGGACGAAACAGTAGCAATCATGAACAAACTGAGAATAAAATAAGGATTGGTAAAGTATTTTTAAAAAATACAGGATAATACTGAACAGATTTTAAAGCCATGAATATTGAATACATGGATGTGTACCACCTAAATTCATTTTAGTCAGACTAATCGATATATCATCTACCAGACAAAATTTAATGTCTGAATTTTGGTTATACATCAGGCAACGTGATTAATGTATTCAAATAGTTTATTTTAAACAAAGTAGTCAAATAATCACATTTTCATTGATATATATGTATTCTGTGCAGAATGCTTCAATTCCGCTATTATGAACACTGGAGCGAACATCAACTCTAGTGTTTAGGTAAATTCGGCTGACGAATTCCAAACAGAACGAAACACGTGCCGCGGATTCCATTGCCAGTCATATTCTATCTATTCTGTATAAACCTTTGATTTTAATAAATCGATTTTTCACTGTGTTCATCTAATTTGATTTCACTGATTGGAGTTGCAATAAATTCAGTCAGTCAGTGACTGTGGTCGATTGGACCGATTCATAAATAGAACAACACATAAAAAATGAACAATGTTGTGTCCAATTTGATCTGTATCAGGCTTTACACCAATATATACAGATCTGTTTCTATGAGTCATTAATAGTACTGAAAAAGATTAGGTAAGCAGAGTGGTCATAAATCTTTGAAGACTAGAAGATGTGTATGAGAAAGCAGTAAAGAATCTGTTTGTTTTACAAATGATCAATATTAAACCGCCAATGGAAACTTGAAAGCACCAGACAGCTATTTCATCCTAGTATATGACGCCTTAGGAACTTTAATGAAAATTAAACACTTTGATATTACTTGTTATCTGGTTAAATTTTATTTATGCATATTTGATATCCATTTACTAGATGACATCTGTTTACATTTGATATATAAACTATCAAAAATTCTGCATACATTCTTGTTGACGAAAAATACATCGTTGGTAATTTCTTAGTTTAGTTACATATTTTTTTCCACTATAGAAAGAACACAAATTTAAATGTAACTGGCTTCACATTAGAGCATCATGGAGACAGAATAGTTTTACCTTGATATCATGAATGAATCATTGTTAGACCACTATTCGAAACCTGAAAACACGACGTGGATGCGCGCTGCTGATGAGTCCCATATCAGGACGAAACGGCTATTCAGTACTTTCAGGTTTTCAACGGTATTCTAACAATGATTCATTCCTGGTTTCAAGGTTAGTAACGACATGTTTTTGTTTATCACCTCTACTTATTATCTCTTTTTTTCGCCTAATAAAAATATGTTATCGTTTTTATGTGATTTAAACCGCATTCTTTATTGTTGAAGGCATCTTTTTTTAAATACAGCGGTAACTAAGTCATTAACAAACAAACAGTTTACAGTAATCAGTGTTTTTATTTTGTGTTTATTGTTTATAGGTTGATGTAGTTATAAATGGACAGCCAAGACCAGATATATGCATGCATGTTGAACCGACAGGTTATGCTTATTTCGATAATGAGGTATATATTTTTTTTAAATTGATTTTATCATTTGTTCATGATTTCTTTGATGATAACTTGTACTCACTGATACAGTGAAATAATAATGGACTATGCCGATCAAGCTGATTCAAACCATAATTATTCACATATGTTTTTGATATTTCACTTATGGGCAATAATCTGTTTGTGAAATTTTCAATATTGGTCTACTAGATCAGGCAAACTCATAATGTTGTGAAAGAGAATACAGGTGAGGGGCAACCGAATTGTATTCAACGAAAATTACAGAGTTACTCAGTAAAATCCGAAACTTACTTACTTACTTACGCCTGTTATCCCCAATGGAGCATAGACCGCCCACCAGTTTTCTCCAACCAACTCTGTCCTGAGCTTCCCTCTCCAGTTCTGTCCAATGTTTGTTCATTCCTCTCATATCTTTCTCTATTTCTCGGCGTAATGTATTCTTTGGCCTTCCTCTTTTCCTTTTGCCTTGGGGGTTCCATGTGAGGGATTGTTTTGTGACGCAATTAGTTGCTTTTCGTAGTGCGTGTCCTATCCACTTCCACCGCTTCTTCCTGACTTCCTCATCCACTGGAATCTGGTTTGTTCTCTCCCACATTAGGTTGTTGCTGATGGTGTCTGGCTAAAGAATATGAAGTATTTTGCGTAGACAACTGTTAATAAACACTTGTATCTTGTGGATGATGGCTTTGTTAGTTCTCCAAGTTTCCGCTCCATAAAGTAGAACTGTCTTGACATTTGTACTGAAAAACTGATTTTGGTTTTGGTTGAAAGTTGTTTGGAGTTCAAGATATTGTTCAACTGTAGAAATGCAGCCCTCGCTTTGCCAATCCGTGCCCTAACATCTGCATCGGATCCACCTTGATTGTCGATGATGCTGCCCAGATATGTAAAGGTGTTAACGTCCTCCAAGGCATCTCCATGAAGAGTGGTTTGTTTGGTGCATGTTGTGTTGTATTGGAGAATTTTGCTTTTTCCTTTATGTATGTTGAGACCTACTGCTGCAGAGGCTGCTGCTACACTGGTCGTGTTTTCTTGCATTTGTTGTTGCGTGTTCGATAGAAGAGCAAAGTCATCTGCGAAGTCCAGAACCAGATCGTAAATCGTTAATTTGCAAAATATCAGTTCATCATATCGAACTGGACTGTTCCTGTTGCAAAACATCGTCAATCCATTGTCACTATTCATGCGTTTCATACAAATTCCATTGTTTTCTAACTCTTCCTTTCTTGATCTTCCCCCATCTTCAGCTGCCAGACATTACGTTTACACTCACGTCATATACTACTTATAAGTAGCTCACACCACAATAGTAGTGAAAGTAGGAGATTCTGTCAAACGGTTATATAACTCTAGTCTTTTCAATCAGACTATAATTTCTGAATGACCATTGAAAGACGCTATAAATGACCTGAAGAAATGTCAAGAGCTTAATAACATCAAAAGTAAACTATGTAGAGTTGATTTTCGGGATTCAAAGTTAAAAACTAGAATTCAGAATTAGAATTCGCTTTTTCTTTTTATCATAAATGAACATGACCTATAATGACTAAAAGTTATTTAACCGAATGGATAAATGAATTTGGCGCAGAAATTGAAAACTGGCAAACTTCAATCTGATTGGTTCATTTATAACTTGAATAGATAGATAAAGACGGACAATCACACGTGACTACAAATTAATCCCTATAATTTTTTCTTGCTTAAAGAGCTGGCGAAATAATAATTTAAGTAACTCTAATCAATATGTTGATTGATTGTACTGATTACATAATTTTGTAATTTATTCCGGGTGTAACTTTATTTTTTTTAAAAAAAAAACTATGAATCGAGTCTGACCAACCAGCAGTACGTGACTTGTTTTTTACAAGGTCGTTCTTAATTAAACATTATAAAAATTAGCATACTATAAGATGATTGAACTCATTCGCGTGTAAAAAGAGAAGTCACTTAACTTCTGATTGAGTGGTTTATCGATTATCAAACATTTATCAATTGGTAAATGTCAAGTATGAAAATCAATCGATAAATCAGTCGAAAGTTAAGTGACTTCTCTGTTTATATGTGAATAAGTTCACTCATTTAATAGTATCTATCTATATTTATCACGTATCAGAATAAATAAACTTGTAAAAACTAGTCACGTACTAGTTGATCAAACTTGTTCCACAGTTATTTTTTTTTAAAAATAAAGTTACACTCGGAATAAATTTAGAAAATCATATAATCAGTACAAATAATTTACACGTATAGAAAGAAGGCAATGAAAATATATGATTAAATGTGAGGTTTGCTAATTTGTTCAGGATTGATCTTCTCTAACCTCATCTTTTCGTAATAAGAGAGATGCATGACTACTTATATACATACTGTTTCATTCTATCTTTCCAAATTTTATTCTGTCAGTAAGTCAGTTGCAACGTAGAACTTCGTACGTATGTACATAAGTTCATGTTGCCATACCATCACAGTAGCACAGAGACGCAAATGACAAATCAAATCCTATTGTGATAAAGATAGTAGAGGTATTAATGGTAATGAAGAAGACTAGGGTTTGAAGATATTATTCAAGAAGTATAATTCAGTGGGATAAGCTTAGAAAGACAAAGGTAGAGGTGCTGAAGATTCCAGAAGATTAGGATTTGAGAGAGATCTACGAATTGATGCACTTGCGCCATTGTAAACGATTTTGAGCCATGTCATTCAAGGTCTCCAACCATTGGTGACTTTCGTCTCGCGGACCCCAACCAGGTAGTGGACATCTACCAACATGACTCAGTCAGTGCACTTGTCAGTGACTTCATGGATTTGTGCCATGTTTTGGTCTGGCCGCCCCTAGCTTTCGTCCAACCTACTCCTACACCACAGAACATAGCTCAAAGAGGCAGTCGTCGGTTAGGCATTCGTATCACATGTCCCAACCACCTCAACTGATGAAGTTTCACTACTTCATCTGTTGAGCTGCCATCCTTACCTAGCACCCGTTTCCTAACGACAGCATTGCTTACTCGGTTGTCTCACGGTATACGAGCAATGCTTCTTAAACATCTATGATCGAATACTAGTAACCTACGAACATCTTCTACTCTTAACGGCCATGTTTCGCATCCATATATTCTGAATACATAGTTGTTCTGTTGGGGACCTTAGATCCCTAGAACTCACTTAATAAAGGTCTTAATATTAGATTTTATCCACAGGCTGATCAGTTGACCTTGAGATTACATTTTCTACCCTCAAAATCCTTCACTGTCATTGGTTGACGTGTGATTTTAGTACGCTATTTTTGTGGCTCTCCCAAGGACGTTTCTGTGATGTTATAAATAAACTCGATTTGTATGTTTATCGACTTCATATTCTCTTGGTGCTTGTAGAATACACTTTCTACGCCATATCAAGACTCTTTGCTATAGTTAGTTGGGCCGGGGACAATCGAATCAGGATAGGCTATCGTGTGACTAGATCATTTGTCTTCGCTCTCGTTTACCGACTACAGTGAACTCATAATAGTTTTAAGCATATCAAGTGACGAGCATATGACGTTTCTATTATCATTAGGTTAACATCATATCGATTTCTTCCTTACACATCCTGCCACTCTCTGCTTTTCATGCCGTTGTGGTAATATAAATTTGGTGCAATACACATTTGTGACAGGTTCTATGTTGATGATCACTGATTATGTAGGAAAAAATATTTCAAATTATGCAAGTTTGATGATTACACAGTGAGGATTCATAGTCATGATTTGTCTCATTGTTTTCTGCATACGTTAAATATATATATATATATATATATATATATATATATATATATATATATATATATATATATATATATACATTGTTGGGGATGTTAGATCCCCAGAATTCGCTTCATAAATGCCTTATTTTGGTTTTCACGTTTGCGAGCATGAGCTGACCTTGAGATTACATATCCCACCAGGAAAATCCATGGCTGTGATTGGCTGCTGTGTATTTCAGTGCGCTATTTTCTTAACTGTCTCAAGGACGTTTCTATGATGTATAAAGAAACGAGAGTTGTGTGCTTGATTGTATTGTGTGACTGCTGGGCGTGTTTGTAGGATATACTTTCTACGCTTACCAAGACTTCTGTTTACAGCTTGGGATTCAACGTAGCCTACCTGGACCCTGGTTTATTGTCTCGTTCGCGTTTATGGACTAAGGTAAACTCGTAATAGCCTCAAGCATACTAAGTGACGAACCCCATATAACATGTGCACAGAACAAAGAGACAATATTTGAATCCTTTCTCATTCATTATTTTAATGAATAAATAATTTATTGAATAGGAATGTAAAATTCAAACAAACGAAACAGATACATTACTTAGAAGTAATGAAGAATTACAAACTTGGACATTGAATGAAAATGATCATAGTGTTTGTAGTACTACAAATGATACAAATACTGAACAATTGGAAAATGTTTTTGAAATAGATATACAAGACAGTAAGTACAATCATTTCATTTTATATAAAACGAAGATGTTTGTTTTTTGGAGGCTGTGAATACAATCATTCATTTATCGACTCTCATAAGTAGTTGGGTTGCTTTATAATCCATCTGTAAAATATTCTATTGTCTTGATAAACGTTTTACAAAACTGATAGTATCGATGGGCGGTAATTCACTTTTGAACGTTGGATTCAATGTGTAGTGAACGAGAACACAGGTGGGGGCAACCGAATTGTATTTAACGACTACAGAGTTACTCAGTAAAATAGGAAAACTATATCGTAAATCGTTAATTTGCAAAATATCAGTTCATCATATCGAACTGGACTGTTCCTGTTGCAAAACATCAATCCATTGTCACTACTATTCATGCGTTTCATACAAATTCCATTGTGTTATAACTCTTCTTCATTTCTCTTGATCTTCCCCCATGTTCTGCTGCCAGACATTACGTTGACACTCACGTCATATACTACTTATAAGTAGCTCACACCACAAATGCACTTACTTCTAAACTGTATTCACTGGCTCAACCAATCTTGAGGGATTACAGAATGAACAATATAGCATTTATCCAGAAAATAGTATATATATATTTTAAAAATCACGCTTAAAATAACCACGCTGCACGGATTTTTAAAACCGACAAGTTTTCTTCTAGCCAAACAACTTAAGCGTATTGATTTGTGTTAGCGTGACACACGCGGAATGCATAGTGTATGAATGACATTTAAATTGTTAGGAAATAATAACTATTGCCATCTTATTGATTGATTTGCTTGTAGAGAGAGAAAAAAAGAGACAGACTAGGCGAAAGATAGAATTCAAGTAGTAGTTAGTTAGTTATCAAAGCATAGAATTATATCTGTTTTAGAATTATTATTATCGATTGTTCTCGGTGTGTGTGAGGAATAAATCAAGTAAAATGGGAATACACTTGTTATTAAGAAAACTTGTATTTTGTTTTTAATGATGTAAACTTAGTCTGGAATCATCCATTCGCATCTGTTGTGTGTTCTACAATCCAAGCGGATGATAGCCTATCTTCTGTCGCTCCTCTTCTGATCTGCAAAGTATCTTGAACACGTTGTGCTCTTGAGTTTTTGTCTCATGTCCACAGCTGTGTACTGTAGCAACTTCCTCGTGAACACTCTTCCTGTTTGTCCTCTTCAGATGTGATAAACTTGATGGCACTTGTAAATAGATTTAAGGGCCAGTGAGAGAATGGATGTTCTGAATCGAAGCCAGTATGACGATAAGTGTGACCTGAGAGAGTATTGATCAGTTTAGAGAAAGTTCTTAAAAAAATCTATTTCATGACAGTAAAGGTATCGCTCACCAATCTGAGCTAAATTCATAGTTTATTGTTATTAACAAAAGATATTTATGTGATTCCAAATGACATAAACAGATTGGCTACAATCGGGGAAACTGGAACTCGATCACTACTCCGTTTTTTATGATTAAAATAACGATTGGTTTATGTATCGGTTTCTAAAATGTGCACTATTAAGACGAAACAGTCGTTCACTGCTTCCATGTTTCCAATGGCGATGTAACAGTGATCGTGTTGGGGATGTTAGATCCCCAGAACTCGCTTCATAAATGCCTTATTTTGGATTTCACGTTTGCGAGCATGGGCTGATCAGTTGACCTTGAGATTTCAATTCCCACCAGGAAAATCCATGGCTGTGATTAGCCGCTATGTATTTTAGTGTGCTATTTTCTTAACTGCCCCATGGATGTTATATGATGTATAAATAAACGAGATTTGTGTGCTTGATTGTATTGTGCTTGCTGGGTGTTTGTAGAATATACTTTCTACGCTTACAAAGCCTTTTTATCTTCAGCTTGGGATTCATGGTAGCCAACCTGGACTCTGGTAATTGTCTCGTTCGCGTTTATCGACTAAGCTGAACTCGTTATAGCTTCAAGCATACCTAGTGACGAACCCTACAGATCGATTCATGAAGCTCAGCTATCTTCAAAACCGTATACTGACACAACGAGAATACTATATAATCAGTTTATATAAATAATATAAGCGAAAACATCATATAACCCTATTGTTTTCATTAAATTTCAGTTCACAATTGTGACAATTCCATATCTGTAAATAATTCATCTGAATTTAAATCAAAACCTGAAAAACTTACAAACGATAGTTTATCAAGTAACACTGGCGAATTGGATAAGGCGAATACAGATAAACCTACTTTAAAGTAAGTGAAGGTGAAATTCATTTGAATATCTTTTGATCAAATTAAAATGTGCAGTAGTATTTTGTGTTGGTTTTTGGCAGGTTCGTCAGGTAATTAAATACGATAAACTTATGAAGTAAATTATTTGATTTTCAATCAATTAAGTTACGTATTCATACTATCTATTGCTCTAATATCATGGTGGATGGCGAAAGCAAAAGCGATGGAAAATGCAGCGGCGATAGGCAACACTAGACAACTTTTCCGCCTTATCAAAGAAACCGGTATTAGGAACCCGAATATGAGTGAGACCATCTCGGATGAAAGGATGGTCCATTCTCAATCCAGGAGACTGGACCGATGGGCAGAACACTTAAGAGATCAGTTCAACTGGTCTTCAGCGACACTTCAGTTACCCACGATCTCCAGTCATACTTACTTACTTACTTAGGCCTGTTACCCCCAATGGAGCATGGGCCGACAACCAGTTTTCTCCAACCAACTCTGTCCTGGGCTTCCCTTTCCAGTTCTGTCCAATGTTTGTTCATTCCTCTCATATCTTTCTCTAATTCTCGGCGTAATGTGTCCCTTGCCCTTCCTCTTTTCCTTTTGCCTTAAGGGTTCTATGTGAGGGCTTGTCTCGTGACGCAGTTAGCTGCTTTTCGTAGTTTGTGTCTTATCCACTTTCACCGCTTCTTCCTGATTCCCTTCTCCACTGGAATCTGGTTTGTTCTCTCCCACATTAGGTAGTTGCTGATAGTGTCTGGCCAACGAATCCGAAGTATTTTGTGTAGACAACTGTTAATAAACACTTGTGTCTTCTGGATGATGGCTTCGGTAGTTCTCCAAGTTTCCGCTCCATACAGTAGAACCGTATTCATAATTAATTTAGCTAAAATAGAATGGTTTGAAATTATCATATAAAAATAAACTCCAAGTTATATCACGTCATGAAATAACAATAATAATTGGTTAGTGAGATAGGTACTAAGGCAAAGATAATTGTCTACTTGATATCTCTTAAAAGCAGAATAAACAGAAGTTGTAATAACTTTAAAATAATAGTTGCTTAAATAAATGAAATCGTTGGAAAGAAAATTCTGTCCTCTGCATTGAATGAACATTTGTTGCCACTACCATGTGTATGACTCCAACGTTGGTGTAGTTAAGAACATGCTATTATCAGCGTGATGAAGGTTCGCTAAATTGCTTAGTCTGATGATCCGTATGCTTCTGTGTGTCATCTTACTGTCATTTCACTCAGCAGATACAGGTTGTTCGACGAACAAGCAACTGATAAATACGTTGAAAATATCTGATACGTGATTATCATATAGTCATGTAAATTAGTCTCATACAGCCATAATTTAGAACATGATAACGATAATCCGGTCTTAACAAAAGGCTTAATAAAATTGAAAGCATTCACAGAGACAATAACAAGAAGAAACATTGCATGTATGATATTACTATACAAAATAACTCCAGCTATATGAAGAACAAAACTATTGTGGTGCGAGCTACTTATAAGTAGTATATGACGTGAGCGTCAACGTAATGTCTGGAAGCAGCAGATGGGGAAAGATCAAGAAAGGAAGAGTTAGAAAACAATGGAATTTGTATGAAACGCATGAATAGTGACAATGGATTGATGTTTTGTGCAACAGGAACAGTCCAGTTCGATATGATGCCCCACCTGTGTTCTCCATCACTACACTATAGCAAATAGAAGAATGACCTCATGTTAAACGAAATAAGTGAATGACAATAGTCGTTGATACACGAACAAAATCTCAACAAGAATACGATTTGCGTGTATGCGTGTCTTTGATGAACTGGCTTCGCTGTTCGTGTGAGATTCGAAAGAATGAATCGTCTACATCACTTGACAGGTTTTCTACGTTTAGTTCGTTCGTCTAAATAGAAATCAGATTTCTGAATAATGAGTAGTGAACCTTACTTACTACTATCCTACTTGTATACAGTCGATAGTATGAATTCGTGTATGGATTATGGATTTGTTCATGTTAGTCTTGTCATTCTTCATTTGAATTAGTTTTCCTGGTTAGCGTTTTTTTGGCAAGTTAGTTTTTGACGGAATGCGGTCGCCAACCCCATGTCCAACCCTCCTCCTTTACCCGGGCTTGGGACCGGCAGTAGACAAATCAAGAGCGGCAAAGCAGCAGGACCAGACAACATTCCAGCAGAGGCAATGAAAGCAGATGTAGAAGCAACCGCGAAAATATTTCACGTCCTCTTCAACAAGATTTGGGATTAGGAACAAGTACCATCAGATTGGAAAGAAGGATACCTGATCAAAATACCAAAGAAAGGCGACCTGAGCAAGTGTGAGAACTACAGAGGCATCACTCTTCTTTCAATACCAGGCAAAGTCTTCAACAGAGTATTGTTAAACACAATGAAGGACTTCGTAGACGCCCAACTTCGAGATCAACAGGCTGGATTTCGTAAGGATCGATCATGTACTGACCAAATTGCTACATTACGGATCATTGTGGAACAATCAATTGAATGGAACTCACCACTCTACATCAACTTCATCGACTACGAGAAAGTATTCGATAGCGTGGATAGGAAAACACTGTGGAGGCTTCTTCGACACTACGGTGTGCCTGAGAAAATAGTCAACATCATACAGAATTCTTATGATGGATTCAACTGCAAAATCGTGCACGAAGGACAGCTAACCGACTCTTTCGAGGTGAAGACCGGTGTCAGGCAAGGTTGCTTACTCTCATCCTTTCTCTTTCTCCTGGTCATCGACTGGATTATGAAGACGTCGACATCTGGAGGGAAGCACGTTATCAACTGGACAGTTAGGACGCAGCTGGACGATCTGGACTTCGTAGATGACCTGGCTCTCCTATCGCACACGCAACAACAAATGCAAGAAAACACGACCAGTGTAGCAGCAGCCTCTGCAGCAGTAGGTCTCAACGTACATAAAGGAAAAAGCAAAATTCTCCGATGCAACACAACATGCACCAAACAAATCACTCACTCTTGATGGAGATGCCTTGTAGGACGTTAACACCTTGACATATCTTGGCAGCATCATCGACGAGAAAGGTGGATCCGATGCAGATGTGAGTGAGCGGATTGGCAAAGCAAGGGCTGCATTTCTACAGTTGAACAATATCTGGAACTCCAAACAACTTTCAATCAAAACAAAACTAGGATTTTCAATACAAATGTGAAGACAGTTCTACTGTATGGAGCGGAAACATGGAGAACCACGAAAGGCATCATCCAGAAGATGCAAGTGTTTATGAACAGTTGTCTACGCAAAATACTTCGTATTTGTTGGCCAGACACCATCAGCAACAACGTACTGTGGGAGAAAACAAACCAGATTTTAGTGGAGGAAGAAATCAGGAAGAAGCGGTGGAAGTGGATAGGACACACACTACGAAAATTACGTAACTGCGTCACGAGACAAGCCCTTACATGGAACACTCAAGGCCAAAGAAAAAGAGGAAAAGGAAGGAAGGAAGGAAAAGAGGAGGAAGGAAGAACTGGAGAAGGAAGCCCAGGTTGGAGTTGGTTGGCGAAAACTGGTGGGCGGCCTATGCTCCATTGGGGGTAACAGGCGTAAGTAATTAAGTAAGTCATTCTTCATTTAACCTACAATAAGGTAACAAGGCTCTTTGATTTAGAGGTAATATTTTACCTTGTGTAAACTAAATTCACTATACTTGTTTACTGTAATTATTGTTACTTGTTTTGCAGAGATTTAATTAAATATCTTGAAAATACAAATCATTGGCCAAATGAATTTTATATTTATCGTCTTTTAAAAAAATTTGACACAATCATCATTAACAATCATGACAACGATGACAACAACAACAACAACAACAACAACAAAAAATTGAACATTGACACTTCGAACAATGAGACTACTTCACAATTGAACTTGAATTCACCTAATCCACAAAAGCCGAAATCAACTCGTTCAAAATTTTTCAAACGAAAATCATCTGTAAATTGTGAATTGCTATATCCGGAAGATTTTCTTAAACTTGATACAACTAAAGTTTTATTCAATTCCATTTGGATTGTATGGTCTGATAAATGTATGTCAAGTGAAACAGCTGCTATGTTATTATTGAGAAATTTATCTCAGGTAATTAATTACATTTCATTGTACATTTATATGAAATGCTGTTTTTTTCACATTAAAAAATCATGAATCAGACAGACAGACAGACAGATACAACACAGAACTTCGTACATAAGTACATCAGTTCAAGTTGCTATATCACACACATCAGCATAGAGACGCAACTGTCAGTTCAAATCCAAGAGTGATAGTGATAATAGAACTATTATTAGCAGTAATGGAGAAGATTAGAGAGCGAAGATATGATTCGAGAAGTATAATTCAGTAAGATAAATTTAGAAGGAGAAAGGTACAGATTATGAGGAATGCTGAAGCTTAGGATTTCATAGAACACAAAGAGTGGATACACCTGCGCCATTGCAAACGATTCTGAGCCATGTCGTTCAAAGTCTCTAACCATCGGTAACTTTCGTCTCGCGGATCCCAACCAGGTAGTCTACATCTACCAACATGACTCAGCTCACTTGTCAGCGACTTCATGGATTTCTGCCATGTTTTGGTTTGGCCGCCCCTAGCTTTCTTCCAATCTACTCCTACACTGCAAAACATGGCTCGTCACGGCAGGCGATGATTAGCCATTTGTAACACGTCCCAACCACCTCAACTGATGAATTTTCACCACTTCATCTATTGATTTGCCATCCTTACCTAGTACTTGTTTCCTAACGACATCATTGCTTATACAGTTGTCCCATGATACACGAGCAATGCTTCGGAGACATCGATGATCGAATACTAGTAACCTACGGAAGTCCGCTAACTCTTAACGGACAAGTCTCGCATCCGTACAGTAGGACGGAGCGAACTGCTGCACAGTTCACTCGTCCTTTGGTTAGCAGACGGATATCTCGCCTGCGTCATAGGTGACGCAGGTTGGCAAAGACCAACCGAGCCTTCTGTATCCGAGATGAGATTTCGTCAGTCACCACGCTATCAGCACTGAAGAGACTCCCAAGATAAGTGAAGCGGTCTACACATTCGACAACTTCATTCCTTAACACTAGTTCAAGTGCCGATGAAACCCAATGTTGGAGCAACATTTTGCATTTTGAGGGGGAAAACCGCATCCCGAATATGCTTCTATTGTTGCTTAGGGTAGTCAGAAGACTCTGCATTTTTTCAGCGTCTTCACCAAGTAGGACAATGTCATCGGCATATTCTAAGTCAATAAGCGAGCCACCTGGTAAAAGGTCTACTCCTGAAAATTCAGACGAGGATAAGGTTATTTCTAGGAGCATGTCTATGATGAAATTAAACAAGAATGGAGAAAGTGAACATCCCTGACGGACACCACCTGAAGTCGAGAATTCCGGTGACAGTTCGCCATAAGCTCTCACTCGACCAGTGGTGTTCGAGTAGAGAGCTTGTATGAGATTAATGTACTTCTTTGGTACATCTTTCAATGACAGACACTGCCACAGAACCTCACGATCCACTGAGTCAAATGCCGCCATAAGGTCCAGGAAAACAACTATTGTAGGACACCTAAATGTGTGTCTGTGTTCTAGGACCTGTCTGAGTGTGAAGATGTGGTCTATACAACCACGTCCAGGTCGAAAACCAGCCTGGTTTTCTCTAGTGAAATCATGAATCAATCACTGTTAGAACGTGATTCTAAACCTGAATAGAGAACTGGATGAGGCCGTTTTCGTCATAGTATAAGGTTTCGCGAAATCTTTAGATTGCTGACACCATTGAATGCCGGCTTTTGAGCACGAGCCTGAAGGTCCCGGGTTCTATTCCGACGAGCGAGAGTCATGGATAAGCACTGCTGATGAGTCCCATACTTGGACAATACGGCCATTCAGTGCTTTCAGGTTTTCTGTTGGTAACTTTAACGATAATCGATAAACTATTTCAGCATAACAGAAAATTTGCAAAATTTCCTTTCTCCTTATTGAATCTTGCATAGATTTGATCACTTGGTCAATCATTTTTTTTTCAAATCAATATGATTATCATTTTTTTCAATCGAATTCAATCGTTTCAAAGTGCATGTCAGAAATTTTTTCTAAATGTGCACTTCGATTAATTTTGAATACAATCTATGATTAAATAATTTCTTTTGTCTGAAATTCTGAAGTTATATTGAAATCATGATCATCGATAAATGTTAAAACAGTTATGCTCGTTAATTGATGTGCTTGAAACTATTACGAGTTCACATTAGTCAAATAATCCAGTGACACGATAGGCTACTGTAATCCGTTGCCCCGTCTAATTGAAGGAAAAGTCTTGATATAGCGTAGAAAGTGTATTCTACAAGCACCCGCAGAATATGAAGTCGATAAGCACACAAATCGAGTTTTTCTATACATCACGAAACGTCCTTGGGATAGTCACAAAAATAGCGTACTAAAATAACACATCAACCAATGACAGTGAAGGATATGGAGGGTGAGAAATGTAATCTCAGGGTCAACTTGTGGTGCCTCCACATATATTCCAGTTCGCTTACATTTAATTTGGTTAAGCCCTTTCGATTAATTTATTTAAGCAAGCCATTTGTATTGCAACAATTTATATGTACCATTCGTTCTTATTATTGTCTGGTTTGTATGAGCTCACACGACGTGTCCCACTGTCATTTGACCTTGTCAACTATTCGTCGCTTTTATTTTATGTGAGTGCATGCCTATTTTGCTTGTTGCATGTCTGTCCTATATTTGTCTGACTATATATTCTTAGTCACGCTCTATCTCGTTGAGTTGGCTCACTAGCCTTCTTCAGTACACGTCGCTTCGTTCGTCTTATTCACTGCTTCTCCGCTTCGCTTTGTGGTGTGTCCCAAATAAACGTATTCAACACTACGAGTTCACCTTCTGATTTATAAACCGTCAGACGCTAGTTAGTAACGATTGTCTGGACGAGCTAATCACGAACATTAAGGACACGCAGTAAATCGACACACTACAAACTGAATAAAACCTAATATAAGGACCTTTATCAAGTAAATTCTGGGGATCTAAAGTCCTCAACAAAAACTATCACCAGGAGCATTGGACAGTCATTTCATCTTAGTATGAGACTCATTAAAAGCGCTCATCTACGACACTGGAAGCGGAGATCGAAACTAAGACCATCGGTCTCACGCATGAATGCCTAACTTCTCTAATACTGATTGGGCATTCAAGCGTATTCATATCTAACTTTAATCAATCCACTACAGTACATCAGCACGTCATATCATGAAATTGTCTGATTGTTTCATCATCAAACACTTCCTACTTTATTTTTTTCTAGACTGAAAAAAATATTCTATTGGAAAAGGATAAATTACATCCAGTCTATAATATGATACTTGAACAGCATAAACGTGATCGTGGCTCAGAATCTCCATTAACATTTGATTCATCATTTCCTGCTCCTCAATATGATTATCATGAATTAGACGTACAAACTCATCGATCAAATCCAAGCAGTACTAGTAGTACTAATAGTTGGTTATGGTGGAGAAAACAACCACAAACTAATAATCCAATCAGTCCAGTGAATTCAGCAGATTCAGAATCATCACCGGATTTCCTTCATCATCAAGATTTTTCATTCAATCGACAATATTCATCTTCTTCTGCTGTGCAATCTATGTTAGCCCCAATTGATCTTGGTGTATCTAGTCCAATGTTAGTTCAAGAAGAATTTGATCAAGAGAATGATGAACAACGGTAAGTGTATTGATTAAAATAAAATTTATTATTCGATTTCACCTAGATGATACTTGTAGCTGATGAGCCCCCAATCGGGAAGAAACATGTGTTCAGTCAATTCCACCGCTAACCGACTCTATCCATTGATCCGTTCATCCATCCATCTCTTCCAGTTATTAATTTAACATAAAAAGTATTATCGAAGCAATTAGTTCACAGTTAGGATGCATATTTGTCAAATGAAACGTATCGATTGCAGTTCTAACTGTCAATAAGAAGATCCAGTCAACGTTTGACATTCACTAAATTTTATTTGAATTTATGAAATATTAGTTTCATAAGTAAATTCCTAACACACTATTTGTCATACATACATTTACAGTAATAACGTTCTATGAGATTTTCGTCCTGATTTGGGACTCATCAACAATGTGCATCCATAAATTCCGCTACTCACAGGAACCGACGTCAGGACCGAAGGTCTTGAGTGTGAACACCTAACCTCTGGATCACTGAACCGGTATCTAACGGTGTTAATGTCTAACCGCGATCAATCTAGGGGTTTCGAGCAACCTCAACCATTTGTATTCAGAAGTTACTGCTTCTTGCACTCGACAGGACT